TAATTCTTGTTTGAATATAAGAGAGGGGGACATATGGAGTTGAGAAGTTGAGCGAAGGAGAAGTGCTTTGACATTGGTTCTTTGCTGGTGTACTTCATCTTCTTCCTTCTTACTACTACTTCTTCTTCTTCTTATCCTCTCAATCCTCTCAAGTTCATTCATTTCTGTTGCAATTGGGCAGCATTGTGCTTTATTGGTGAATTTGTACTTCGCAATTGGTCCGGGTCATAACATAATCACCTCTGACGGAGGGGCTTCGCAGTCTAGGTCCTCTTGTCGGTGAATCTGGGACCATCGGGCCCCCGGGAGGGCCGGGCAGTGCTCCTCCAGGTGCAGTATCCCGGGTTGGACTGTATGCACCCTGTATACCGTCATCGGGAGGAGGAGGGCGTCAGTGTGGACCACCCAGTCCCCCTGTAGCAGGGTCGGACCTTTTTTCAAAGCCGCAACCCAAGCTAGAGGGATAGCCTCCTGCAGCTCACAGAGCTCCTGGGGAAGGTTGGGAAGGGGACCTATTTTAGATCTGATTCTTTCTTCTGCATCCCAGTTGGCCAGAGTATCACTCCAGAGGTCCCCAACTGTGTATACTCCTTTCCTCACCCATTTCAACCATTTGGACTTTGTACGCAGAGAGAAGGGTTGTCCCCCCTGATCCTTTATTTGGGGATGTCCGAAAAGTGGTTGCCGTCTGATGTCGTGCCACCTGAGCGGTGTCTTTGTTCTCGTTGGGCCCATCTCCCTCCACAGTTTGAGCAACGACGGCCACATCGGATCAATTTTGATATCTTTTTTTGCCCTATATGCATGACTCATGTCTGGGCGGTCTTTCGGGCAGACCGGGATGGACCAGTCTGGGTTTGTAAGCCATTGGAAGGGATGCACCGGGCGGTCCTCCAGAGATCGGGGGGCCAAACAAGCGATTTGAATGCTTGCATACGGCGCCCAGGGGATGTCATTACCTAACAGCAGCCTGATGAGGACTTTGAAGATGAGTGCCCTGATTTCTTGCTAGGGATCTATTATTCCAAGAACCCCTCTGGGTCTCGGTTGGATGATGGTCTCCCAAGCTACTCTTTTGATGCAACGGATGTCCTCGTGGTCATTTTTCCATAGGTAGGCTGCCACCGCTTGTTTTAGTTTAGTCAGTTGGTTGTTAGTGAGAGGTCAGAAGGCCACTTTGTACCAGATCGAAGCAAATATGGCATTATTAATTACCAGGGCCCTTCCTACCAGCGAAGTCGGTTTGGTGTCCCATCTAGACATCCGCTGGATGACCAGATCGACTAGGGAGTCCCCATGATCGTGCAGGGGGCCCAAGGTTGTCAAGTTAACCCGAAGGATCCTAATGGCAACTTCCTTGTCTTTCCAGGTAACCGAACGTTGAGGCGGCGGTTGTTCCTGGAGGTGGTGCAGCCACCATCCCTCCGTTTTCGTTCCCCAATTCACCTTCATGTCGGCCGCAATTTCAAAGAGGTGGATGGTGTGGGCCACAACCCGGAAGCTCTGTTCATTGGCCCTAAACAGGACCGTGAGATCACGACAAACAATGAGGTGGTAGGGATAAGGTGGTCCAGTATTTCCTGGACATCGATTTTTTGGATGTCCGGATTCGACCTGATCATTGTTGCAAGGGCCTCCATCACCAAAACGAACAGCATTCGGGCTATCGGGTCCCCTTGGCGTACAGATCTGTAGCCGGAACGGAGCCGCCAGGTGGCCATTTAGTGAGATGTTAGTGGTTGCTGTTCGATGCAGTATGTCGATCCATCTGCAGAAAAAGGGACCAAAGTGCATCTTGTGAAGACACATCTGCAAAAATTCCCAGTCCACGTGATCATACGCTTTCTCAAAGTCGATGAACAGGATCGCTGCGTCCACCTGGCGTTGTCGTGCGTACCTAATCGTTTCGTTAACCAACAGGATATTGTCCTGTATGTTCCGATGGGGCATAAAGCCTGATTGGTCCGAATGGATAAGGTGTGGCAGGTGCGGCAGAAGCCTGTTGGCCAATGCTTTTGCCACTATTTTGTAGGGAACCGGCAGGAGGGTGATAGGGCAGTAATTGCGGATCTCCTCCTAGTCTCCCTTCTTGTAAAGCAGCGTAGTCACCCCTTGGCCCATCATATCCCCGAAAGATTCCTTGTGAAATACCACATTCACGTAGTCGATGAAGTCCGTGGCGAACACATCCCAGAAATGCAACCAAAACTCTTTAGGGAACGCATGAAGACCAGGAGTCTTGTTGTCATCCATATCATGAAGAGCCTTGAGAAGGTCTGCGGGGGTGAGGGGGGACTCCAAGAGGTTTCTTTGCTGTGAGGATAGCAGAGCCGGCAAAGCCTCCAATAGGGACGTTCTAGCTGCTTCCAGCTGCTGCTGGTTCGTCGTAGATGTCTCTGATGTAAACAAGTGTTTATAGTATGTTGAGGCACATTCCACAATCCGGTAGGCGTTATTGGCCACAGGTTGCTCCCCGTCAAAGGGGTGTTTGAGATAGGGCACTATATTTTGTCTGTGCCTTGCCTTTGCTTTGTTAAACAAGGCTTTGGACATCATGCCTTCGGTGGCATTTTTGTTAATTTTGGCTTGGATCCGCCATTTCTGTGCTCGGTCATCGAGGTATTCTTGGAGTTGCGCCCTAGCCCTCTGGAGAGCCTGGAAGGTGGGGATGTCCAACGGATTTTCCATAAGGTACTTGTCCCATTTCTCCAATTGTGCGATCAGGCAGTCCAGGGCTGCTTTCTTGTCTCGTGCATGTTTAATAGATAGTTTTTTTATTCTCTTTCTGAGCTGCGCGATTCCATCATTAAACCACCGTACCATGGAGCCCTGTTGCTGCCGTTGTGCTGACCAATGAGCCCAAAACTCCTTAACCTTGTTATTCAGGGACGGCAGTTTAAGCAGGGAGGTGTTGAATTTAAAAAAATCGGGACCCCGTACGACATGCGCGTGGAAGGACAAGCCAACCGCAATCATTCGGTGGTCAAATGATTTGCACAGTGAAAAAGGGAGGATATCAGCAACTGTCAGCAGTCCATTGAGGTCCTCAGACGTGAGGCAAAGGTCAATTCGGGAGTTGGAGATTCCCGCGTCGCCTCTCGATCTAACACGTGTGTAGGCCCGTTTGGTTGGGTGCAGTTCCCTATATGAGTCTTGCAATCCCATGTGTGTCATCATCTGACCCAGCGCTGTGCTGTCCGGACCTGGTTCTCTCAATGGTTGGGAAGGTGTTTGGGTTGCAGATCTCCTGTCCAGATTGGGGTCCGGTGTGGTGTTTTAAGTCCCCCAACATTATGATGGGGACGTCGTCCGGGAGGATGTTCTGCAACATGTCAAAGAAGTGGACTCTTCTAGCCGGTTCGTTGGGAGCATAAACACTAACAAGGCATATTTCCTCCGTGCCAATCAATGCCCGTAGCCATACCCACCTGCCATCTGTCCGGTCCCAGTCCACAAGAACGGGGGTGAGGCGGGAAGAGGGCGGGAGCCATATGGCCACTCCTGTTGATGCCCCCGTTCTGGTCGGGGCTGCGTAAGCAGCGTGGGGCCAGATCAGTTTTGCTCGTGCCCTGTGCGGGGCCGAGTCCGTCAGGTGGGTCTCTTGTATCCCAATCGCGTCTGGCCACTTTCCAGCCATATCTCTGGTTATGAGGTTCCACAGTGCTGCCGCTTTCTGGTCGTTTTGCTGCCACAAACCATTGACATTAATCAAGCGGATATCCAAATCCGCTTCAGCAAGCTTTTTGGCCCACTCTGGCGGAGGGGGCCGGGGCGGGCTGGGACAGCGTGGAACATTTGTGAGGATTGAGCCCTCAAGTAGGGGCCTTGCCATGATGTACATGTTCTGGGCTAAGGCCCCAACAAGTCTCGGGCCCGCCCTAAGTGAAGGCGGGCCAGCAAATCAACAAGAGCCCTTTGTGCCAACATTTCACAAAGTGGGGTTCATACAGTTGCAGCACGCCAGTTGGTTGGAGTGCACCGAGTCTCGGATTTCAGCAAATGCTGAAAACCCAGGGCCTCTGAGTTGGTTAGGCCCTGGGCACTCGAACGTGAGGCCGACAATGCATGCTGGGTAGAGAGGCCGAAAATGCCAAAGGGAAATCGGCCCACTATCTGAATCTGGCCGCAGGCCTTGAAGAAAGAGGTGCAACTGCATTGCCCCGGGGCCCAACTGYACCGAGTTGGCTTCAGCCTCTGGGTCCCGGTCACAGGCTGAAGGGAGGCCGCCCACACGYTGCATTGGCATATAGGCAAGCAGGGCGAGTGGGCAAGGACCTTGGCCAATGCAGGCATTGCCGGCACGCTGCGYAAGTGCACGTGTGCTGCGCGGTGTAAAGMTGCRTTGTGCGCAAGCAGGCAGGACAGCGCTAATGCGGAGGAGCGYTGCYTGGGCRCAAGGCGCTGGCGGCCATAGCCRGGCTGCTGGCAGGCGCAGGGGAGGTGAGGGCGAAGGTGGTACTWCGGAGGTGAAGGGCGTTGTGTGGGTAACAAGGGAGAGTGTGGGGAAGAGGACACGTACCTGGTGGAGGTGGAGGTCGGCATTGGTGTTGACATCATCACTCGCTGGTAGTCAAGTTGTCTGGTTGCTTTTCATTGCTGTNAAGAGGACACGTACCTGGTGGAGGTGGAGGTCGGCATTGGTGTTGACATCATCACTCGCTGGTAGTCAAGTTGTCTGGTTGCTTTTCATTGCTGTTGTTGTAGGATAGGCTGTAGAGTAGATAGGGCRCCTGGCGCCATTCACAAGAGAGAGCTACATTTGGGTTATGCTGTTGGTGTTGCCCAGTTGGGCATGGACATTGACTCACGATTCTTCTGTATCATTCTCAATTGGATGGTTACTCGGTTCCATGTGCTATCTGCTTTGGCTTTGACTACTTGGACTTCAGTGTGATTTTGCATTATGGATTTCTGTGCTTCGTCCATACTCATGTTCCTTGCAATTTGGTATCGGAGCCGGTTTGATTGCCACTTACCTTTGGCACGCTGGCGTTATACAAACTTGGTGCGTTGACGATGCTTCTTCGCAGTGGGTACTTGTGACGCCAGGCCACTATAGGTGCACGCCCTGGGTAGAGAGGGGTGCACCAGAAGGCTAAGACGACAGTGTGTGCCGTGGATACATGCGGAATGTATGATTGGTGATGAGAGCATGCTGATGTTGCATTCGGCTGAGGTGGCACTACATTGCGTTGTGGGTGGTACCGAGGTCAAGACCGGTCATCAAATGCACATTCAGCTCAATTGGTGAGAAATCTGTGGTGGGGGCAGCTATTTCCAGGTACGTTGTTCCCTTACCTTATCTACTCTCTCAATCTCTTCTTACCGTGAGGAAGTGAGTCCAACTTGAGAGTCCTCTCTTTTGGTGAGGTGTCGTGAGCGCACTACCTTGAGAGACGACAATCTTCCCGGAAGCATCTGGAAGGAGAAAGGGCGGTGCCTCTGAAGGGTCCTGGTCGAAGCACTGGGTCACGGTCACCATGCCAACCTAATTGGAGTAGGTCACGCATGCGATGGCTGCTGTCCATTAAGGCACTTTGCTGCGCCAAATAGAAGTTGCTCCGGGTGTGCCAGCCCATGACAGACGCTTACCAGACCGTCTATAAATATTTCTGGTTGGGAGTTCATTGTCAATCTGGCTGTGATCGTCGTCCTGACTGCGACGTTAAAGAATTCCTGAAGAGATGGGGGCGCTCTATAAATTCCTCCTGATCAGCCAGATCACATGGACAGGAAGGCTCGTCGCCGTACGAGGGTAAATAAGAGTGGTTGGGCTGGCTTGCTCGGTGACAACTTGGGCACAGGGGTGTGCCGATACACACAAGAAAACACTGCTTTGCTCAAGATGCTGTTCGGTATGTTGGATGGAGGGGAGGGTAGGTTCCAATTGGTGCTCAACTGAATACACAACTATACCCACTCATCATACATCTGCTACATTGTCTTTTTGTACCTTTGATTAGTTGGTTGACGGACTGCTAACCTCACAGACAGATTAGTGTAGGACTGTTGTATGCTACCATAGCCAGTTCTAACTAATGTTGTTGTAAGTGAACCATTCAGGGTGCATCTAGACTATGTAGACAATCTGTGTGAATGTTGTAGACATGCCACTTGATTCGGTATAGTAGGAAACTCGCCGGACACAACTACATATAGAAAATTTTGTGCCGGACAGATACATGTTGCGGTAGGATTCCACTAGGGGATTCTAGTGCAGATGGTATCTGCCTAACTAATGAGTGGATCAGATCTTGTTGATGATAGAGCTGACATCAGGAGACTTACACGTTCGGAAGCATTAAGGGTTCCGCACGTGTTCAGAACCTTGGACGAGGGAAAAGAAAGACGGCTTCGTGTCGAACGTAGAGCCCGTGCTCTAGCAGCAGGACTACAGGAAGCAAACAGAGTAGCAAGAGAGCGGGCAACAGCAACCAGAGCAGCAGCAATGGCTAACGGTACCAGCTCTGCTGCGTCATCGTCTGCGTCCTCGTCAGGGACTAGTGGGACTCAGTTTGGAATGCCACTGAGTTCCAGGAGTTCCTCGGGCACTTCCGGTTCAACAAGGTCTAGACAGTCTTCTAGTCAAATGGCGGACTCGCAGTTCAGCCCGTTGACCCCACGTGAGAGGGAGCTCAGAGAGATCCAACAGGTCGAGAGGCTCCGCCAACAGTTAGAGGAGGATCTGAAGAAAGCAACCGATAGAGAAAGAGAGATAAAAAATAGAGCGGCCAGACTTGATACGTTAGAGGCTGACAAGGCTGCGTTAGAGGGATTGGACGAAACAGGTTTGTCTGACCCCCTGAAAGTGTTGAAGAACAACATGTTGTCACTGCATGCGCACGTAGACAGCAGGTTGGACTTTATGCAGAGCACTTTGGACCAGATCCTGGATGCATTGACAAAGCCAGGATTCCGGCCACCAGCACAATCGCCGTTGTCATTAACGGCGATGTCAGACCCCTTTCCCGTACAAGTTGGCACCCAGCCAAGTGGTACGTCTGCAACAGTCTCACAGACTGTTGCGTCTTCTTCTTCGGGTCCAGTGGTGATTGCTACTTCACCACCACAACCTGTTCAACAATCTGGACAGCCGCAAGGTCAATGGTATCCCAAGACCCCAATGAAACCGCCTCTTGCCTTCTCAGGCGAGATAAAGGACGAGGAACTCAACACATGGTTGAGGACGGTCCCGGTTTGGGTGAAGGCCAAAAGGACCTTGCCTGAGGACGAAGTGGCAGTACAAGTGCCCGAACGCTAAGGTTACGCAAAAGATTGCTCTAAAGGTAGGGGCAACTTATTCCCAGGCTTCCAGCTCGGGAAACACGTGAGGGCAGTGGAAGTATTAGCTGCTGCTACTCGAGATGAAGTAGGATAGATACCCTCCCTACTTCATGACAAGGCCAGGGATAATGACCCCTTAGTCACCCCGCAGACACAACTAGACCAAACTATGCTCTGTACGTTAGATGTGTCTGAAGCCTTAGAGGACTTGGAGAGTGAGTGGTCAARCAAGGACCCTCGCGAGTCTTGGGTGGCGCTGAGGAAAGGTCCTAGA